ACCTACAAGTACTAGCAGACAAAAGATGCATTAACTTATATGTATTCTTTGATTTTCATGAGCTAGCTTTCTTCCAAAAACTTTTTCCTAATAATAAGAACAACAAGATAAATGTATTACCTGGCTCTCATTGCAGCTCAAGATGGGGTACAACAGGGTTAAAATAGAAAGATAAAACACAACTCTATGAAAATACATATAACACAAGACAACACTATAGAAATGTAAGTTAAAATTCACAAATTTAAATTGACTCTGTATGTCTGCTAGAAGAGATAGATCTTCAATTGCATTTTTGAACTCTGACAACTGATTTAGTTGCTGAATAGGGGTCTGCTTTCCCTATGGATCCTGCTCATCCACCCTCTTTCTCTCCAGTCAGTGATCAATACATGTTTTCTTAATTTTCCTGCTGTGTTATTCACTGCCTAGCTGAAATGGTACTATAAAGCCAAGGAAGAGGGAGCAGAGGCTTGTTTTCTGCTGCCCTGGAGACTTTAGGATTCAGAGCAATGGGTTCAAATTACAGGAAAGGAGATGCCGCCTGAACACTAGGAAGCTCTTCCTGACTATAAGAGCTGTTCAGTGATGGAACTCAATGACTCGGAGTGGGGTGGAAGCTCCTTCCTTAGAGGCTTTTAAACAGAGGCTGGATGGCCATCTATGGGGATGCTTTGATTGTGCTTTTCCTGAACGGCAGAATGAGTTTGGACTGGATGGCTTTTGTGGTCTCTTCCAATTCTATGATTCTAAGTGAGGTCCTGCACTGATTGCTGTACTACTGGTAACAAATTATGGCTTCTGGGGTTTGTTCTGCAACCAATGTTGATTCTTATTTCTATAGGGACTTGTAGCCGGCAAACTAATTTCTTTCAGACGTTCAGCCACAGTAGCTCAGAAGTCACTAAGGAATCCAGCTCGGCCAATGTTAGATACAATTAACAAATCCTTTGAGACCCCTCCTTAGGAGGTCAAAACAGGTTTCCAATTATAACTATTCTTGCCCAAGGACGCCCGAGATCAAAGAGAGGACGAGCATGGAAAAATTCTGCAACAGCAAGGCTGAATTCTTGTGGTAAAAGACTAGTGTAGCCACAGTGTAAATTTGGGAGGGCTCCCATACCTTTAATGATTGTGTAGAAGAGAGAAACCACCACAATAAGTTAAAGTGGACTTGAAAAAAGTTAACAACAAGAAAGAATGCCTGCAGATGCAGCTATTTTGTCACCCAAGCAGTCAACAAGCAACATCTTTGAAAAACAAAAAGTAACTAGAGTTGCATCTTATTTCTTCACAGTAGCATTCTGTTGCTTGTTATTTGCTTTATCAAAAACATGTATGTTTTGCCTTCTACAGTCAAAATAAATCCACACAAAGTAGCTAATGATGGAACAAAAAATTAAAGCCAAAATCACAAAAAAGCACCAATGAACACGATAAAAATTAATTAAAAATATGTAAAGTAATGAGCAGTCTGTTGAAATTTAAGGATTAGTATCTCTCAGATGAAAATTCTGAGAGTGCCTGGATTGCAAGAAGATCCAACCAGTACCATACTCCAGGAAATAATGCTTGACTGCTCAGTGGAGGGAAGGATATTGGAGGCAAAGATGAAATGTTTTGGCCACATAATGAGAAGACAGGAAAGCTTGGAGAAGACAGTGATGATGGGGAAAATGGGAAGCAAAAGGAAGAGGGGCTGACCAAGGGCAAGACTAGTCACTCTCATTGCAATGGTGTAGTAACGGTGAGGCCGCAGACCATATTTTAGTTCTTGTGGACCACCGGTGGTCTATAGACCACATGTTGGGAACCACTGCATTCCATGAACGTCACATCTCAACAGAAATATCTACATTTAGTTCTTTATTTTTCTGACCATCAGCCTTTAATCTTCCACCATTACTCCTTTTTGTAATGGCCTTCCTCAATTCCTTGGTTTCCATGGTTTTTGTGTGTGCACACACAGGGATCTACTAGTTCAATAGTACTTGATCATTAAAATTGTACCATCTATATCTTTTATACTGTGCCTGTCTTGCTGCAAATACAATGAAATGGTTCTTTGATTATCTTGACTAGCCAAAGCAAGAGTTTTAGTCTGGTTCTTTTCTCTTTCTACTTGCAAACAAAATAAAATTGATTAGTCTCACCAACAAGCAGACGAACATTGCTTTGAGAGATAGGCTTGTGTCATGATCAAAGTTCCCCAGTGTTTAGCTGTTATACTCCCAGATTTGGGGGCATGTTGATGAAAAACTTTTCTTACTGCTCAAAATAAGTTTCCCTTATTGATTCTTTTAAAATTGACTTCTGTTTGGGCTATTTAACTGAACATTTAGGAAAACCCACAGCAGCTTTTTCAAGATTTGAAGTGGGGTGGAGAGAATTGCACATGGGATTAAGGATCCTGAATGTACTTGCTCATACAAGGAAGATTCATGGAGGAACAAGATCATGTTTGCTGTATCCATTCTCTGGAAGAGTGAAGTCAAAATGAGCCTCAGGGGGTTTGAAGCATTTGTTCTTCTGTTAAAGCCTGAATGGACAGTTAGTTGGGCCTATTTCATAATTTCAGGGATTCGAAAAATGTGATGCCTAGCATTTAGGAATGAAATAAAATGACCATCAAAATCAGTGGTTCCCAAGCTTTTTTTTTAACCAGGGACCACTTGACCAGGGACCACTCTGCAATATTAGTACCAAAAGGGTTATGAAACAGGTTTTGGTCAAGTTTAGATTTGGTTAGGTTATTTGAGATACTGATTCAGAAAATTGCATTGGATAGACCACACCAGTTCTAGTTTTTGATACAGAACATATGTCATCTGGTAGTCGCCATCTGCTCGCCCACAGAAAACCATATTTAATAAGTCTCAGCACTATAAGAGGGTTTCATGAGACCAGTTGCTCTCGTTGCAATGATGTACTAATGGGATGGTTGTGGACCATACTTTAGTTCTTGTGGCCCACTGGTGGCCCATAGACCATAAGTTGGGAACCACTGATCTAAATAAACACACTTGGACTGAAACTCCCAGCATTCTGCACAATTAGCTATACTTATTAGATAGAACCAGAGATACTTCTTAGTTCAGTATATTTTTTTTCTTCCAGTCCAGCTTTCTTTTGCTGCTGCTCACGCCAATCCAATTCCCCCAGTGCTTTAAAACAAATGTTTACATTTCTGGAAGAGGTTGGGCACATATTGTGTCTCACAGATACTTGGACCCAGCCATTCACCCACCATTGGGCTTCAGAGCAGTGTACTGGCATACAGTGACCCCTTGGCATACTCCTTAAGGACACCAAAATCCATGGATGGTCAAGTCTTGTTATATACAATGGTGCAATAAAATGTTGTCCATTATATGAAAAGGGAAATCAATGTTTGCCTTCTGTATTATAGTGATGTATTGTTTTTTGGTTGAATCTGTGGAAGGTTGAACGTATAGATATAAAGGACTGATTGTACTGTGGTGACTTCTTAATATGGGAGAGATCCTTTTGCCTCCTACTGACTAGACTGAGGAAGACTGCCTGGCCAAGGAGCTGGCATTCCCGACAGCTGGGGAATAAACCGCAGTTCTAGACAGCACTTTACATTTCCTCCCTGGTTAAGTGCTGGCACCCCAGGGAGGCGGTTTCATCTGTTCTTGGCAACAGAAGATGGACTCCGGGGAGACATTGTAGAACAGGCCTGGGCAAACTTGGGCCCTCCAGGTGTTGACTTCCAGGTGTTGACTTCAACTCCCACAATTCCTAACAGTCTTGGGCCCTTTACTTTTCCCCCTCAGCTGGGGAAAAGGAAAGTGCCTGAGGTTGTTAGGCATTGTGGGAGCTGGGAGTCCAAAATACCTGGAGGGCCAAAGTTTTCCCATACCTGATGTAGAATGATTGCAGCTTGACATGACTTGGAAGTGCTACAGCATGCTGGGAACTCTAGTCTGTTTTTTTTTTTCATGTCAGGAGCGACTTGAGAAACTGCAAGTCACTTCTGGTGTGAGAGAATTGGCCGTCTGCAAGGACGTTGCCCAGGGGATGCCCAGATGTTTTGATATTTTACCATCCTTGTGGGAGGTTTCCCTCATGTCCCTGCATGGGGAGCTGGAGCTGTAGTCTGGTGATGGGCTACCAATCTGGAAGAGAAGGCGAAGGACCCTCTGAAACTACAACGCCCAGGATGAAACAGCCTTGAACCAGAACAGTCCAAATAGTCCTCAACCGGGAAAAGGAATGGGGCTGAGGATGTTAGGAATTGTGGGAGTTGGAGTCCAAAACCACTGGAGAGTCCAAGTTTGCCCATGCCTGCTGGAGAATGACTGCAGCTTGACCCCACTTGGATCTGCTAGGGCATTGTGGGGGCTGTAGTCTGGCGAAGGGCTACCAATGTGGAAGAGAAGGCAAAAGACCCTCTAAAACAGGCATCCCCAAACACTGTTTGGACCTCCAAGTCCCAGAAGACCTAACGAGCTTGTTCAGTTGTCAGGAATTCTGGGAACTGAAGGCCCAAACAGCTGGAGGGCCGCAGTTGGAGGATGCCTGCTCTAAAACTACAACTCCTAGGCTGAAAGAGCCTTGAGCCAAGGGAAGTCCACATAATCGTGTGGAGCTGCATTCCTTCTACAGAGTCTGCCCTGCCTCCAGGAAAAATTCCCCAGGCAGAGGGATGAAAGGGGGGAGGGGGTGCTGCGGGGGTGTCCCCCAAACCTCTAGGCAAGGGGATCCCGCCGCTTTGAACCGTAGCCCGGGCGGGAGACTGCAACTYCCCTCATCCCCTCCCGGCGGGGACAATGCCGGGGAGAAGGGGCTTGTTGCAGCCCGAGAGCTCTTGGGCCAGCCACGTGATTCCTCCAATCCCTCGCCCGCCACTCAATCTGCTGGATCCGGATCCCTTGCCTCGGTGCGCCTCTTCCCCAATGTATCCCCCCTGCCTGCCTCCCTCCGCCCCTCCCTCCTCCGCCTCCTCCTGGGCGGCGCGCGCGTCCTCGCGCCCTTTCCGCGCCCTGCGTGCTCGCTCCCGCAGGCTGCAGGCTGCTCGCTTTGCTTGCCTCCGTCGCTCTCTCTCTCTCTCTCTCTCTCTGACTGTCTRTCCGTCCTTCCCTCCTTTCCGCTCTCTCTCTCTCTCTCTCTCTCTCTTGCTCTTCCTACCCCCTCCGCCTCCCCTTTGCTGTTGCTCCCTCTCCCTCCCTCCCTCCCTCCCTCTCGTCTCTCTTGGCATGAAGATGGTGGCCAGCGTCCGGGTGCAGAAGCTAGTCCGCCGGTATAAGCTGGCGATCGCCACGGCGCTGGCCATCCTGCTCATCCAGGCCCTGGTGGTGTGGAGCTTCAGCAGCCTCGAGGAGGAGGAGGACCAGGGCGAGGTGAGCCGGGACCGGGCAGGCAGGCAGGGAGGGAGGGGGCAGGGATTGCTTGCTGCCGGGGGCGAGGGGGCTGAGCGGGCCTTGGCCCCTCCTCGGGCCCCCAGGCTGCCTCTGTTGTGGAGGGAAGGCGCTTCCTTTCCCTTGCTCGGGCTCAGTGCTGTGGAATCCTGGGAGGTGCACTTCAGCCTTCCCTGCCAAGGCGTGCTGCTGGGACCCCCAGGATGCAACTGTCAGCCAGGGTTGCATGGCGAGGGACCAAGCTGCGTTCAAGGCCGGGACGGGTCGTTGGGGCAGCGAGGAAGCCGCCTCCCGTGGCAGGGCGTCCCAGACATCTCACTCTTGGCAGCCTTTGAATTAAAATGTGAGAGAGGATGCCCTGGATGGAGGCTTCACTCAGCCCTGCTCTGGGCATGCGGTTCTGAGGTCCTGGCTGTGCACTCCACGGAATCTGGAAACAATGTTATCAGGACTCCAAGTTGATGCTTGGAACAAATGTGTCTGGAAACATTGCCATATTGCCGAAAGCTTTCATGGCCAGAATCACTGGGTTGTTGTGAGTTTTCCGGGCTGTGTGGCCATGTTCCAGAAGCATTCTCTCCTAATGTTTCACCCACATCTATGGCAGGCATTCTCAGAAGGTGTGAGGTCTCACTACCTCTGAGGATACCTGCCATAGATTCAGGCGAAACATCAGGAGAGAATGCTTCTGGAACATGGCCACACAACCCAAGAAACTCACAACAATCCATTCTCATATTGTTTGTTATGGGGACAGGATATTGTTGGGATGTCTTTGCTGTGAAGTGTGTGTGTGTGTGCATGTATGCTTTCAAGTCACCTGTCAATGCCTTTAATTTTGTAGGGTTTACTTAAGCAAGGAATCCTTGGAGAATCCTTTCCTCTGAAATATAGCCTGCAGCACCTGGCATTTGTTGGCAGCCTCCCATTCAAGTGCTAACCAGCATTGGCCTTGCTTAGCTTCCCAGGTCAGAGAGGACCTGGTGCCTCTAGGCCAGGCATGGGCAAACCTGGGCCCTCCATTCCTAACAGCCTCAGGCCCCATTAAGCTGCTTAAGTGGGAAGGGCCTGAGGCTGTCAGGAATTGTGGGAGTTGAAGTCCAAAACATGTAGAGGATCATCCATGCCTGCTCTAGGCTATTTAGGACTTTTTTAATTAAGTAAATACACCATTTTCCATGCCCATTTGGAATATTTGGCATAGCAAGTTAAATAATTGGACATGGAAAGTATGGAGTAGTCGATAAATATATGCGGAGTAGTTTGAAGATATGTATATGCTCACATTTGTTTTGTAATGGGACCCAGATTCTGCTGAGCAGAACTACAAGTGTTTGAACCAGCGATTTTCTGTTGTGTGGGGCAAGGGGAGAAAATGTGCATTTTGCCAAGCAGTCATCCCTACCTGATATCTGTGAAATGGCGGGTGGGATGTGAGATGGCATTAGGCCAAGATCCAAGAAAAGGCAGGAAGTGTTAAAATACACAGTTCTTTAAACTGAAGTCCTCCAAACACGTTGGACTACAGTTCTCACTATCTCCAGCCAACATTGAGCACAATGCTGTTATTGGTGGGAGTGCACCAGGTTTTGTAGAACTGAATTAATTGGTAAACTGCATAAAGCTGATTTCACCAGGAATAAGTATTATTAGGAGTGAAAAAAACCCAGACTAGTAAGTTACATGTGTACATTGCCCTATACACAGATGGTATCATGAAGTGAACTCACTGACTGTAGAGCAGTGGTTCTCAACATGTGGGTTCCCAGATGTTTTGGCCTTCAACTCCCAGAAATCATCACAGCTGGTAAACTGGCTGTCATTTCTAGGAGTTGTTGGCCAAAACATATAGGGACCCACTGGTTGAGAACCACTGCTGTAAAGGCTCCAGCATGTGGACTTCATTGTTTTTGTTATGGCATAGTAACAACTGTTCAGATTTTCAGTTTGGATGATAGCAGATCCTGATTATTAAAAATCCCTAAATCCAAAGGATGACATTCTGTAGGCAGGCAGCTTAGTTATGGATAGCAAGTATGAGATGTTTTGCCTCAGCATAATACGTGGATGATACTGACCCTTGGGACACTGGTGAGCCCCAAGCCATACCTTAAAGCTGAATACTGAACAGGTGAGACTAAAAATTAGCACTCTCTTTTATGCATGAAGATAGGGCAATTCGTCTTGGATCACAATTGAGCCAACCTTCACCCTCAGAGGGCCAAGGGAGCTGCATTTGAACAAGACTTCTAAGCTATATCTCTTTTATTGTTTACTAGCAGTAACCACCACTTGTTGCTGTGGCCAATCTTCCCTTCCTCTTTCTCTCAATTCTTCCTCTCCTTCCTTCCCTTTTTTTCTTTCCTTCTCTCCTTCCTTCCTTCTCATCCTCTTTTCTTCCTCCCCTCCCCCTTTCTTTCCCTTCCTCCTTCACCCCTTTCTTCCTTCTCTACCTATTCCTGGACTGCAGCTCACAGCAATCCCCCTGATCATTCTATATATCTACCTATCTAAATCTATCTAATCTGGGAGTTGCAGTCCAGGAATAGGAAATTGGAAATACACAGGGATTGGGATGCTCTCGAAGAGATCCAAGGAGAAGAAAGCTTGCAGCTTGGAAGCAGTGCATTTACATCATCCTCCTCTCCTAAAGGACCTGATTTAGAGGATGCTGGGATCTGTAGTCTGGAAGAAAGTATGAATTTGCTATTGTATGTTTTGTTTGCCGGGGGAGTCATTTTTGTGCATGCACTGTAGTGCTTTTTTGGCCTTTTTAAGTCCCTTCCGCTGTGTTTTTCAGTTGTTTTATGAGTGATGGTCACTTGTTGGCCTGAAAGGTGTATTGTGTCCAAATTTGATGTCAATTTGTCCAGTGGTTTTTGAGTTATGATAATCCCACAAACGAACATTACATTTTTATTGATATAGATAAGCTACTTGGGGTCCCAGACTGGAAAAAGAGATTGTATAAATACACACAACAGCAAAGATTCTTGGAGAGCCACATGTTCCATCTGATGTTTTGGATTTCAGCTACCTGATTCCTTGGCCATTGACCGTGCTGTTTGGGGCTTCTGGGAGTTGAAGCTCAAAACAACTGGATGGTCAGAAGTCAGGAACCACTGGTGTAGGAGATAACATAGAATCATAGCATAATAAGGAGTCTCATTGAGTCCAACCTTCTACTCAAGGCATGATCTTCAGCTCAAGGCATCCTCAGCAGGTAGCTTCCCAGTCTCTTTTGGAAGTTATCTAGACAAGGCAATTGGTTGTATTGCTGGACCACTCTTACTGTGAAGAAGTTTCATCTGATATTAATATACCGTTCTGTAACATCAAACCATTAGACCTGATCCTACCATGTGTGGCAGCCCAACTTAGACTGATCTGCTGTGATCTGTGTTGCCATTTTGTAGTTGAATGGCCACCTTGTATGACCTTTTCCTACCCCACACAATGCTTTAGAATATGCATTGTTTTGGATTCCCTCTTGATCAGTTTGTTAGTAATATACATCCCCTCTGTCTTCTCAAATGCAGTCCAGATTGTGATCAGGATACATGGTGTATCGTTCACAATGTAAATCCAATTTGGATTCATTTGAGAAAGGGAACTGAATGTGAGGCAAGGGAGAAGAAAGCCTACACCAGCAAATACTAAACCAGTCTTCGGACATACAATTTTAAATTTAAATTAACCACCAATCAAATGTTGAATGTTTTAGGACGTAGCGTTTTGTTACTGGTAAGAAAACTGAAGTATATAGTGAACTCCTTCTGCTACCCTGTGCTGTCTTGACCCTGAACAAATAGTTCACATGTATATAAAGCAGATCAAGACCTTCCTCTGCCAACAAGCTTTTGGGGAAGGGTAAGGGAAGGTTTTGAAAAGGGTGGGTGGGATTGGGGGGATATGAGTTTTAAAGGCCATTTTAATGTACTTGCTGTGTTTTTACCACACTTATTATTTAATTGTTTTTTTAGCTTTTGTAAAGCTGCCCTCGGTGGCGCAGTGGGTTAAAACACTGAGCTGCTGAACTTGCTGACCGAAAGGTTGCAGATTCAAATCCAGCAAGCGGCGTGAGCTTCCACTGTTAGCCCCAGCTTCTGCCATCCTAGCAGTTTGAAAACATGCAAATGTGAGTAGATCAATAGGTACTGCTCTGGCAGGAAGGTAACAATGCTCCATGAAGTCATCCTGGCGACATGACCTTGGAGGTGTCTACAGACAACTCTGGCTTTTCAACTTAGAAATGGAGATGAACACCAACCCCCAGAGTCGGACATGACTGGATGCAATGTCAGGGGAAAACCCTTACCTTTACCTATTACTGGGTTACTGTGAGTTTTCCGGGCTGTATGGCCATGTTCCAGAAGTATTCCCTCCTGACATTTCACCCACATCTCTGGCAGGCATCCTCAGAGGTCAAGGGGTCTGTTGCAAACAAGGCAAGTGAAGTTTATATATCTGTGGAATGTCCAGGGTGAAAGAGAGAACTCATGTCTGCTTGAGGCAGGTGTGAATGTTGCAATTGGCCACCTTGATTAGCATTTAATGGCCTTGCAGCTTCAAAGCCTTATTGGTTGCTGCTATGGGGAACCTTTGTTGGGAGGTGTTAGCTGGCTCTAATTGATTCTTGTCTGGAATTCCCCTGCTTTTTGAGTCTTGCTCTTTATTTGCTGTCTTGATTTTAGAGTTTTTAAATACTGGTAGCCAGATTTTGCTCATTTTCATGGTTTCTTCCTTTCTGTAAAATTGTCCACATGCTTGTGGGTTTCAGTGGCTTCTCTGTGCAGTCTGACATGATTTTTAGAGTAAATAAGAGTTAATAATGCTAATCAAGGTGGCCAACTGCAGCATTCACACCTGCCTTGAGCAGACAAGAGTTCTTTCTTCCACCCTAGACATTCCACAGACCTCACTTGCCTAGTTTCCTACAGACCTCTCAACCTCTGAGAATGTCTGTCATAAATGTGGGTGAA